GCAGTCCTCACACCGCAGTCCTCACACCACAGTCCTCCACACTGCAGTCCTCATACCGCAGTCCTCCACGCTGCAGTCCTCACACTACAGTTCTCCATGCCGCAGTCCTCACACTGCAGTCCTCACACCACAATCCTCATGCTACAATCCTCCATGGTGGAGTCCTCCACACTGCAGTCCTCACATTGCAGTCCTCACATTGTAGTACTCACACCACAATCCTCCACACCCCAGTCCTCCACACCGCAACCCAGAAACCAAAGTTATTCTTTGAAAATATAAATGTAAGTCAGAGACGCTCATGCCTCTGCTCAAGCCTCACTGCCTTGTCTTAGAGTAGAAGGAAGTCCTTACAATAGCCCAGAGGCCTGGCAGTGTCTGGCCCCATCACTTCTCTAGGCGTCCCCCACTTCTCTCCTCTGCTGCCCAACTCCAGCCACACCGGCCACTTGCAACTCAGAGCCCACCAGGAATGGCCCCACTTCCACACCTTCTGCCGTTCCTTCTATCTCGATACCATCTTCCCTCAAATACCTGTAGGACTAACCCCTCACCTCCTTCAAGGCTTTCTTCAAATGTCACCAATCCAGTGATGTCTTTCTCCTACCACCCTGCTTACGATTGCAGCCTGACTCCTAACTGCCAGCACTACTGACCCCTACACCATGCCCCACTTCTTCCAGAGCACTTGCCACATTCTTATGATGGCATCATTGCCCTGCTTGTGTTGATTGCTTACCTTCTCTGGCCTTCTCAAAAGTTCTCAGAAGGACTATGACCACCCGCAATTTTTTTTTTTTAAGTAGGCTCCAAGCCCAGCACAGAACCTAATATGGGGCTTGAACTCACAACTCTGATCAAGACCTGAGGGGAGATCAATCAAGAGTCAGATGCTTAAGGGGCATCTGGGTGGCTCAGTCGGTTAAGTGTCTGACTTTGGCTCAGGTCATGACCTCGTGGTTTGTGGGTTCAAGCTCTGGGTCGGGCTCTGTGCTGACAGCTCAGAACCTGGAGGCTGCTTTGGATTCTGTGTCTCCCTCTCTCTCTGCCCCTCCCCTGCTTGCGCTGTCTCTATCTCTCAAGAATAAATAAACATTAAAAAAAGAATTAAAAAAGAAAAGAGTCAGATGCTTAAGAAACTGAGCCACCCAGATGCCCCTCACCTGCAATTTTAAATAATAAAAGGGATTTTTGCCTGCTTTGGGTCACTAAAGTATGCCAGGTTCAAAAGAGTGCTTAGCACACAAATGGCAATCAAATATTTTTTCAATGAATACACCAGTAAATTTAGGATGAATTGGGCATTTCAATATGATAAATTAACATTTTATTCTAAGATAATTCTATTTCAGATTGTGGAAACATACAATATTTAACAACATAATCATTTCAAATAATAATTATAAACACTCAAACCCTACAATCCTGGGTTTTGGGGGAGTGGAGAAAAACATTTTGTATTTCAGCAAAGTGAATTGGCAGCATTAATGGTCACTGTCTCCTCTGAAGAATTATTTTCGGTCATCCTTTACCTGTTATGGAGATGATAATATCTAGGCACAAATACTGAATATTATTATCGATCTTTCTTAACATTTCTCCAGAGAAAAAAGTGTCTATCATTAAAACTATACTGCTACTTGGGGCGCCTGTTTGGCTCAGTCGATTAAACGTCCAACTCTGGATTTCGGCTCAGGTCACGATCTCAGTTTGAGGGATTGAGACCAACGTTTGGCTCCATGCTGGCAGCGCAGAGCCTGCTTGGGATTCTCTCTCTCCCTCTCTCTGACCTTCCGCTGCTCACATGTGCTCTCTCTCTCTTTCTCTCTCTCTTAAATAAATAAATAAACAAACAAACAAATAAATAAATGTATAGCTACTACCTACATTTCCTAAGTAAAACAAGCAGTTACTTTTCTAAGTTTTCAGTCTTTGATACACAGTGCATCACTGAGTAAAAATGATACTTACACATCTTGAAATTCTTCTAGAGTCTTCTGTGGTGTAAACACATTTAACAAACTAATTATCTGAAAAGAAAATTTATTTTACCTCAGCATGTCGTAACTTTAACTATAAAAATTAAGTTTAACGTTAAAATGTACTAAAACTGAAAAACAAATCACAGCAGAACTCAGTATTTATTATTGTTATTAGCTTTACCAAAATATCCTATTATGTGGCATTTGAGAAAAGTAAAATGATTAGGGTTCTCACCTTGGAAATAAGATGTACTTTTAATCAAATCACATTTTATGTGTTTCTAGTAACTTATTATGACAGAATTTTAACACATAATGTCTTTCAGGCTCTGAACATAAAAGAATAGAAATTGTGGGTAGAAAAAGACTAAACAAAGCAATATGTTAACTGTGAAAACTTAAATACTATCTACAAATTTCTAAAGCTTTGAAATATGAAGGTGAAACTTGTATCTTTAGTATGATGAAGATGAACCCCTCACAGTGCTATGTATTTACTTAAAGAGGGTTCTAGAAAGGCCTCTACCACAGGCCTTGGTCCTGGCACCCCAACAGTTAAGTGATGAGTCCCACTGCTTGAGCATCAAACACACATCCTCAGTCATTTCAAATGACCAAGGGAAAGAGGAATGATTCAGTATATAGAACCGGGGTGGCTGGTTAACTGAGGGAAAAATAAAATCGGATCCATACTTCAATCTTCACATCAACTCCAAATGGAACAAAGATTTAAACGTAAATGATGAAATCATAAAACATTAAAACATGGATAAACATTTATGTAATTCTAATGTAGAAAAGCCTTTTTCTAAGCATGACAGGAAACCTACAAAATTTTATTACATTAAACCCAAACTGAAATTAAAAAAAAAAAAAAAGCATGGCAAAAACAACTTAATTGGGGTCAAATGGAAAAGAAGTGAGAGTTGGTAGCTTTAGCATCCAAAGATCCTCCCTAAATGCATAAGAAAGACACCAACAGCCCAAGAGAAAAATGGACAAAGGCCACAGAAAACAAATTCTTTAAAAATAAATGGCTAATAGAAATATGGAAAAGAACTCAACTTCACAAGAATAAGATATCATTTGTCATCTCTTAGATTGGTAAAGTACAACAAAAATCTCAGATAGTCTTTTATAAATATACATATGTATAGGCTTACTGCTTCGGAGACAGAAGCTCCGAAGCAGGCTCTGTGCTGACAGCAGTAAGCCTGATGCGGGGCTCAAACTCAGGAACCATGAGATCATGACCTGAGCTGAAGTTGGACACACAACCGACTGAGCCATCCAGGCACCCCATTCTCAGATACTCTTAATGGAAGTGTAAAATTGATGGTCTTTCTTGAGGTCAATGTGTCAGCATATTAAAACCAGAAGTGCGCAGAGTATGCTTTGGCCAAGAAGTTGACCTGGACAAGCGTGCGAAGTACATGTTAAGGATGTTTGTGGCAGTATTGATTATAATAGCAAAAACTGGAAACAATCTAAATATCCGGGAACAGGTGACTAGTTAAATAAATACTGTGCATCTGTACCATTTAAAAAATGGTTTCCATCTATGTTCATTAATATATCTGAGGTCCAGAAACATTCCATGAGGGAAAAAGCAGTATTTACAATAACACAGAAGGTCGAGTTCATGTGTGTATGTACATACGTATGTAAGAATGCTCACCAAAATGTTAATGATAATGAACTGTGAGAGTCAAGGATTTTTGCCTCTTTGTTTATATCGTTTGAATTAAAAAAATAATAACCATACTTTTGTATAATCTGAAAAAAATTTTTAAATGTAAAAGTAAAATAAAGCATACACTGGAGAAATTAAAAACAAACTCAAAAGAATAAACTTATCTTAGTTTTGTATGTGATGTCCCTATACCAGAAAGATCCAGCACTTATGCTAAAACAAAGGGAGCAGCATGAAATTGAGTGTAGTCTTAAATACTCATCAACAAAAAAAGGGGTCACAAGGGGTGATCTCCAAAGACCCTTCCAGACGTAACATGTGATGATTTTTTTTATAACAAGGCAAGGTTATCAAAATCATGCTTACAATAATGCTTAGAGACTAGTGGTGGACATCCAATGTGCCTGAGTACCTCATTTTCTGGAAACTTACAATTTCTCCTTAAAATTTACAGTGCTTTGATTTCTGTGGAGATGCCAAGTACAGCTATCTTGAATATCACACCATCTACTGACATATTTAAACCTGAAATGTCCACAGTACAAGGTAAAAAGCTACTTCTAGAACAACGTTTTTCTAAAAAGAATATGTAGTGTCTCAGTTTGTTAGGTTCATACTATTGCCATTTTATAGAAATAGAAATACTGAAACTCAAATGGTTACAGGGTTAATTGATATTGCTAACCCTCTTCAGTGACCCAAACTGGACCATGCTGCTTCTGGCTGACTTCAATTTCCCCAAGGTTAATTAAGAATTTTATCAACAGGGGTGCCTGGGTGGCTCAGTCGGTTAAGCGTCTGACTCTCGGTTTCAGCTCAGGTCATGATCTCACGGTCTCATGGGTTCAAGCCCCACATGGGGCTCTGTGTTGCCAATGCAGAGCCTGCTTGGGATTCTCTCTCTTCCTCTCCTTCTGGCCCTGGCCCACTCATGCTGTCTCTCTCAAAACAAATAAACTTTAAAAAGTTATTTAAAAAAAGAATTTTATAAATAAAATATAACCATTTAAATGGTTACTGTTATTAGCAGTTTACCCTAAGTCTAAACCCAACATATATCCAAAGACCCAGAAGATTATCCCATTATGGACAACATTATATGGAGAAAACATAGACATAACTTACATTTTTATGATTGACACATTTTAAGAGGACGAGTTCACGATAAGCTCTCTTTGCATGGGTTTGATTCTGAAAAGGACGGCTTAGTTTCTTGACTGCAACATTTATCCCAAGAACTGTATCAAAAGCAGCACTATAATTAGGAAATATAATAAGGAACCCATTAGGATGATTCTGGAAAATACTGCAATGTAGAATGTACATTCAAGGCATTATCTTTTTAAATAAGTAACAAATAAGGAAATCTCTTTCTGCTTGTTTCTACTCAAGGTACTTCTACACGTCAAGACCAAGGTAAGTTGTCTGAGAATGTGGGACGGACTCACTGCTCTGCAGAGGTACAGACAGGGCAGCTACAGTTAGGATGGGATTCAACGATTCTTTGCACACTGACTTCTCATCATATTAGTTGATATCATTATATTCGGAACCAAGTAATTCAATACACAGGATGTAAGACCAGTCAAGAAACGAAGTCTTCAGTTTAAATATGCCAATAAGTTGGGGCGGGAGGGTCACTGGTTATCACAGAATAAAATAGAAGTATATTCTGGAGTATCATGGTGGAGGAAATGGTTGCGATCATGAGAAGAATATAATAAATATAAGTTTTGATTGTGTTTTTCCCAGACAAAAAAATCTAAAGAGAAAACAGAAGCCAAGATCTCAGCTCATTGTAAATCCTCAAGATACAAAACCGCTAATGTAAGCAATTACTATATATAAAATTCTACTAGAAATAACTCCTTGTACTGTTATAGTAAGAATAAAATCCTGCAGAGGCTGTGTTTCTGGCATCTCAAGTTCCCAGTTGAAATTTATAGTTCCTTTTCCTCCAGAAAATAGGGAGAATTGAGTAGCCTGATGGTACATTTTATACAAATTAGTACTAATAGTACATCAGAGGTTAAAAGCTGCCAAAGACCACCTCAGAACTGAAGCACCATTTAAAACACTGTTTCTATTTACTCTATTCAGTTTGTAACATTGTTTCCACTTATACACTTCTATTAATTTTTTTTTTTTTTTTTTTTTTTTTTTTTTTTTTTTTTTTTTTTTTTTTTTTTTTTTTTTTTTTTTTTGCCAACAGCCCTAACTTAATTGAATGGGTTTTAAATTGAAGGCTGTCCGTGGTAGCATTTGGTTAATGATTAGAAACTTCACGTGGCTTTGTAATTGTTTCTCTTTAATTCAGTTCACATTATGTGTACACGTATACACATACGTAAATCCACATGCCCATATGGAAATGCATCATTCATATGAATTATGAAATGTTAAAGATAAATCTATTGTGCAACAGATAATTAATGTATATATATACATGGGCATTTGTACCTACATATATTTTTCAGTGTTAAGAACTTGAAAACAGACACACCTTTCTTGATCTCAAAAGTTTTTGTCCCAAATGAGCCAAATGGACTAATTCTGAGCCTCTGAGCAGACACCTACTTCCCCACTAGTAGTTTGAACTGCAGGAGCAACCCCCTTCGATTTTTCCTGGTTTTAATTCTTGTGGTCACTTCTCAACTCCAGATGAATATACTTTTATTACCGTTTCCTCATGTATCAACTTCAGAAATTGTCTGTCTACTCCGCCAAACTGAAGATTTAACCACTTACTTGAAACCCCCAACTCTTCCCAGCTTTTTGCTCTCACGTCATTTTGAACTTTTCCCTTGGTTACCTTTGTAACTGGAAACAACGTGCCTAAAATTCTTGTTCCATCAAACTTCAAGGGAGCCTCTGGACTCCCAGTATGTAAGATAAGACCATCACCTTCCATCTCTTTTGCCTTCAGGGCTCTACTCTCTTTCCCCTCCTCCAAACTTCTGTCTCGAATGGTCAAGCTAGAGAACATATCTGTTCGGTCTCTACAACTACGTCTTCCGTGTGTCTTCTTTCGGATGTGTCTACAAGTTGAAAGCCAAGACACACAGAGTATGTATGCATGCACACGCAAATGTCTCTAACAGCAGAGCCAGGATGACAGTTCATTTTCCAAGGATCACATGACCCTTCTTGTCACTCACAAGGGAATGAGATTGTTTCTGGCATCAAAGTCAGATGGATTTTCTTTTCTTACATCCCATCAGTTGCTCAAACATCATGTCTTTTTAAAGCTGTTTGACACTTTAGGCCATGACTTCTTCTAGCTGTTCCACCATAAGTTTCCAATAAGCATTTTTTCTTTTTTTTTTTAAATATTTATTTATTTTTGAGAGAGAGAGAGAGAGAGATGGAGCATGAGAGGGGGAGGGGCAGAGAGAGAGGAAGACACAGAACCCGAAGCAGGTTCTAGGCTCTGAGCCATCAGTACAGAGCCCGACGTGGGGTTCGAACCCATGAACTATGAGATCATGACCTAAGCCCGAGTCGGATGCTTACCCGACTAAGCCACCCAGGCACCCCAGCATTTTTTCTTTTTAAGAGAAGAAAAATATCCCTTTCTAAAGTCTATCCCCCGTGCCTCCCACCTTGCTCACATGAGCTATTGTTTAAGGTCTATTCCATTTTTTTGAAGATATGTTTTCTTGGAGTTTCTTTCACGGCCTGCTGTAAAGCCACCACCTTGGGACTTCTTTTCACTGGTCTCCATGCTTCTGGTCATATATGTTCCTGTATTCTCTTTCTTGGTGGAGTACATCCTCAAGGAATTGCTTCAGAAAGAGTCCATGGAAGATAAATGATCTTGTTCTGCCCTCAGCCTTGACTGATAGTTTGTCTTCTGACTTCAAAATCAGCTTTCTTTTGGAACTCCACGGATTTCCAATGTTGCTTGTCTCATTTTCATCCCTTTGCTTCTCTTCCTGTTCCTCAGTTCAATGATGTGTCACAAAGAATCATGTTTCGTCAGCATCCCCAAAGCCTCCCCTTATTAATCACTATCCCTCCTGTCCCCAAAGATGATAACTCATTCTGATTTTTATGATCATCACCTCCTTGCTTTTACCAGCTAAACATGCATCTTCAAGCTCCCTCCCCCTCCCACCCCCATGGCTTATTTTTGTCTGTTTTTTTAAACCATTTGTGTCTGACTTCTTTCACTCAACATTACATCTGGGAGACTCACCTGTTGTTGTGTGTAGCTAGAATTCATTCTGTGTCATTACTATAATATTCCTTTGCATGACTACATGACATAACGTTGATGTATACTTCAGTTATTTTCAGTTTGCTAGCAATTATAAGAAACATGGTCATAAACATTCTCACACATGGCTCTGGGTCCCTTATACATGCATTTCTGATGAGTAGATAGCCAAGAGTAGGAACGCCGAAGCATTGTCAAAGTGTTTTGCTGTACCAATTTCTAGGCATTTGGTTTTTATGTATGCTGACCCTGTGTTCTATAAACGGGGCTAAGCATACTCATTAACAAATGGGAGATGGGGTCTAATCTAATCACAACAGACCCCCCCCCCTTTTTTTTAATGTTTATTTATCTTTGAGGGAGACTGAGATAGAGCATGAGTGGAGGAGGGGCAGAGAGAGAGGGAGATACAGAATCCGAAGCAGGCTCCAAGCTCCAAGCTGTCAGTGCATAGCCTGATGTGGGGCTCGAACTCACAAACCATGAGATCATGACCTTCGCTGAAGTCAGATGCTAACCAAGCCATCCAGGTGTCCCACGACAGCTCTTTAGAAGCAGAGTTTGCTCTGGCTGGTGGAAAGAGGGGAAAGTCTGAGAGATTTTTATCCTGAGAAGGATTAGACGTGCCACTGCTGTCTTTAAGGTGGAGGGGGCCATGTGAGAAGGAATGCAGGAGCCCCTACGAGCACAATGGCCTTTGGCTGACAGACAGCGAGGGATGGGGACCTCAGACCTACAGCTGCAAGCAACTGGGTCCTGCGAATGTGCTCAGAAGCACATTCTTTCCTGGAGCCTCCAGATAAGAGCACAGTCCAGCCAACATCTTGATTTCAGCCTCATGAGATGTTGGGCAAGAACCCGGGCAAGCCCATGCAGATTTCTGACCTATGAGAAGTATGAAATCATAAATGGGTGTTGCTTTAAAACACCAAGTTTGTGGTAACTTATTATGCAGCCATAGAAAATGAAAACATCCTCTCTTCTGTATTTTTCTACCCTTTTGTCTCTCCAGGCTTCATTCTGAAATTTTTTTTAGTGTTTATTTAGTTTTTTGGAGAGACAGAGTGTGAGCCGGAGGAGGGGCAGAGAGAGAAGGAGACATAGAATCCAAAACAGGCTCAGCTCAGAGCCTGACGCAGGGCTTGAACTCATGAGCCATGAGATCACGACTTGAGCTGAAGTCAGACGCTCAACCGACTGAGCTACCCAGGTGCTCCACTGAATTTTTTTTTTTTTTTTCCTGACCCACCTTTCAGATCACTAAATTTCTCTTTGGTTATATCTAATATGCCATTAAACCCATCCATTAACTTCATAATTTAATTTCTATATCTTACAGTTCTAGAATTTCAATTCAGTTTTTTTAAGTCTCCACTTTTCTACCAAAAATTTTTCATCTTGCCTTTTACCATCCTGAACACAATGCCATAGCTATTTAAAGTTTGGATCCAATAACACTAATATCCCCTGTGGATCTGTTTCTTTTCTGTTTGTGCTGGGTCACATGCATGTTGTCTATTCTCCTGTGTGACAAGTCATTTGTGATGGTGTGTGGGGCCTCGCATTTGCAAAACTGCTTGCTATCTAGAAATAGCTTGATATCTAGAATTTAAATTCACTTCTGCTGGGCACCTGGTGGGGGGCACTAGCAATTTGGGTTCACTTCAAGTTCAGCAAATGAGGTGATTTGAGGCTGAGTGGCAGTGCCTGCAAGGGTCCATTTCTTTCAGGTTCATTCTTTTTTTTTTAAATTTTTTTTAACATTTATTCATTTCTGAGGGACAGAGAGAGAGCGGGAGTGGGGGAGGGGCACAGAGAGAGGGAGACACAGAATCCGAAGCAGGCTCCAGGCTCTGAGCTGCCGGCACAGAGCCCGACGCAGGGCTCAAACCCACGAACTGTGAGATCATGACCTGAGCCAAAGCTGGACGCTCAAGTGACTGAGCCACCCAGGCACCCCCTCCCCCCTTTAAAAAAAAATTTTTTTTTAACATTTTCTTTCGGGTTCATTTTTAACTTCTTGGGTGCAGTCCTTT